TACATTTATTATTAACAATCATAGAGCCCTAAAACTGCATATTACTGCTTTTTTCGACTTTCATAGCCCGTAAGTATATACAATTTTGATTCAAGACAATCAATTTTAGTAATTTTTTGGAGAATTTTATGCCCTGCAAGAATATGGCAAGAAAAAAATTTTACCTACAACGGTTCAATAGTTATAGCATTTTTAATGAAAACCAATTTTTTTACATATAATTTACATGGAAAATTTCAAATGCCCACTGATTAAAATTGAAATACAATTTTTTCCAAATGAGAGAATTTTTCTGGTCCCTTTAAGGGCATAACATCGCTAGGCTAAGTCTTTTGGATCACCCTAATGTACATATGTATATAATAACATTGAAAGAATATGTATTTAGACAGATAAAAGCAATAGTATTGATAATGAATGGTATTCGTAACGGCAACAATAATGGTATTGGTATTGGGAATTCTACTGGTAATGGTAATGGTGATTTTAATGGTAATAGTAAAGTAATGGGAATTGGGAATTGTACTGGTAATGGTAATTTTAATGGTTATAGTAAAGTAATGGTAATCAAAATAATAATGTTAATGGCTATAGCAATGGTAATGAAAATAATGTTAATCGCTATAGTAATGTATGTATGTAGTGATAATGGTATTGGTAATGGAAATGAGAATGGTACTGGTAAAGGTAGATAATGGTAATGGCAAGATAAATGGTAATTGTAATAGTAATGGGGATGGTAATGTGAATGTTAATGATAGTAGTAATGGTAGATAATGGTATTGGCAATGGGAATGGTAGTGCTAATGGTATTGGTAATTGTAATGGGAATGGTAATTTGAATGTTAGTAGTAAATGTACAAAGAAACTCGTGATAGTAATAGTTGTGGCATTGGTAATGGTAAGATAAATGGTAATGGTATTGGTGATTGGTGATTGGTGATTGTAATGGTGATATTTATGGTAATAGTAATGAAAATGTTTATGTTTTGGATTGGAAGACTTCCAGAGTCTTTGATTAGGTGCCAAAATACATATTTTTGCTTTATTTGCAGACTTTCCAAAGAGTGCGAACCTCTTCTCTTAAGCGTGAAGCATTTCAAATAGTTATGAACGAAACATAGCCCGCAAAGCTTTTCAGAGCTTTCTGCTATTTTTACCTCAGCGCGCACAGTGTTTAAGCGTTCTCTGGCGCAAAGTAAAAGCTCTTGGAAAGTTTGGTACGCAAGCTTATTAAATGGCCAACTCTGGTCTACTCACATCACGAAAGGCTCCCCAAATTAAATAGCTAAATTCCTTTAAATGAACGCAAGTTTTATTTTATCAAATTGTGCATAACCGTAAGTAATGGGTGTGTTAGTAATAATATAAGTAACGGTTAACAGTAGTTATTTGTTTTTAAAAACTATATAGATATTTTAGAGAACTGCCTAGTTCCTGTTATATGTAGCTTATTTGTGAACGAATATGCGAGTACTATCTCCCCTCCTTATCTGCACGCATACACTATTATTATCCAATTTGTTCTCTAGCTCCCCTCTCTACCTCTACGCTGCCTTGAAGAGCGCATACAAATTACTCGGCGCCATATAAATGTAACGACCATAGCGCGCATGCTGCGTCGCTGCGCCCGCATAATTCTGCTGTGTTGCATCGTTCATGAAATTCTCACGCATGCGCTCGTATATGGGTTTTACCAGTGGCTGCTGTAATGGTGCAGCTCCCATCATCGGATAGGCTTCCGTGTAGAGTGGCGCGCGCTCATTAGCGCCTATTTGCGGCATGCTGCCATGCGTTTGATCGTGCATATAACCCAAGAATTGTGAAGCGCGGAAGGGCGCCTGGAAGTTTAGTGGTTGTGGCGGCGGTGACGCGTGCTGGCCCTGCGGCAAGGGTGGCAAACGTGGCAGTGGCGGTAATGGCGGCGGTAAAGTGTTTTGAATTGCAGGCTGCTGCTGGGAGTGGCGCTGATAGACTGATTGTTGAGAAGTGGATTGCTGTTGCTCAGGAGATGGCTGTTGCTGCTGTGAATGTGGCGGCGGCGGTGGTGGTAGTGGTGGCGGATGTTGTGGCGGCTGCTGTGACGCGTATTGCTGATATTGCGTTGGCGGCGGTGGTGGTGGTGATGGTGGTGGTGGAGGCGGCAAAGGAGGCAGCGGTGGCGGTAGTGAATTATATGCCTGCGTTTGTTGTTGCCGCTGCTGTTGCTGCTGGCGCAGTTCCTGCAGCTGCCGGTGGGGGTGTATATGGGGCTGATGTTGATGAGGCCCTACATTTGGGTGGTAAAGCACGCTCATTGGCACGAAATAAGTTGAGCTTGTGCTATACGATTGACCGTTACTACGCGCTGCCATTGTGGCTGGGGTATCTCCTGGGAAAACGTGTGGCGCTGTACGACCAGGACCGTGCTGTGAGGATGGTGAATAGACTTGTGGAAAGTAAATGTGTGAAAATGTTTGAGGCGCTGCAAAATTTACGCCCAAACCAGCGTTAGACATGTCATCGAATTTACGCGCCTCTGGCGTGCGCTGCTGATACTGTTGTTCACCGTTTTGTGAGTTCATCATAGCGGCGACCGCAGAGTTGGCACTTCTGCTCGTCAACTCATGGCTATCCTGTGCATTGTAGCCAGGATCGTAGAGTAGGCGTGTTGACTGCATAAACACATTGGTCTCATGATTGTCTGGTACATTATTGAGTTGGTAGCCGGGTGAGACAAAGCTCTCGCCAAACTGCAGTTGGCGCTTGCTAACATTGGAGGCGTGCGTAATGGTGGATTCACTGGCACATTGAAGGATGCGCCACAGCAGCATGAGCAGGAGTAGAGGTGATTCCGGTAGATGCATTTTCATTGGCTCTCAGCGGCGCTGATAGCTGGTGCTAAGGTAGATGAGTACTCTCAGCTGATTGAAGAAACGCGGCGTAGTGTTTCTAAAACATTTTTTTACAAAGTCAAGCTGGTGTTGCCAGAATAAAAGAGAACTTTCAGTTAGTCATACGAAATCTGCGTTACATATTAACACTATGTAAAGACTGCCTGAAATCTAAATTCGTCTACAATATAGGTCATTAGCATCAAACAAGGCCTTAGGAAATAGCTGAGTGGTTGAAGTAGATCATACAAAATCTCTGCCATTTGGGGGCAGCAAAAAGAACTAGGCGACCAGACGACTACGCACAACTTAACAGTTTTAGCAAGCGCTAATAGCACGTGTCCTAAGGCAAGACCCCTAAAATGAATGACTAAACAGCTAAGCTAAATAGCTAAGCTTGGTTTACCATCTAAATCAGTTACGACCACAAAGCAAACATATTCTCTCGATCTTGTATGAAGCCTAGATCTCTCGCTATAGATATTCACGGTATAAAAGCTCTGGTGGCTCTCTTCACTTCCATTCTATCTTCCTCTGCCTCAAATCTTTTTTCTTCACATCCCTTTCTCTTACTTTCCACTATTTTATCTCATCTGCTCTCGTTCTTCTACTCATCTATGACCGATCTGAGCTGTGTAATTTTTTTTTAGCTTTCAGGGTCCGTTAAAAAAAAAAATCGGTGTTGCCACTAAATAGGTGACTATGAGCAAAGCCCAGTCTAATCGCCATTGGACTAGATTAGTGATGTTCAGAGAGAGCTTTTACTCTGTGCTCGTCCATATAAAATCTACAGAGAGCTTTGAAGAGTGCCGCCAGCGGGCGCTGTTTTGATCATCTCTGGACAAGATGGTGTTTCAGATCAGTAACCAAGGAGTGGTACGGCTGCAGTGCTTTAGTTTGAGCAAAAGCTATCTCTGGTCTTATTTATTAATGGAACCTCGAGGGTGTTCTTGAATGCTAAACTTCAACTCCCCATTTAGCATAAGCACAGCTAATCTACCTTGCCAATCAGACTATTTCCACTCCATCTAAACGTCAGCTAGCGCGTGAATGAGTTAGCAATCGAATTTTATGCTTACCCTAAACTTTTGTTAGTCCTGGTAGTTCACAGTCCAATTTCTTCCAAATTTAACAAATTGGCTTTTGCGACCTTCCAATGCGGGCGACAAACTTTAACTATACGTCTACTCGCCTACGCAGTCAGTTTTTATTGGAAAAAATGTCACATACCATATTTAATAAATAATTACAGCGCCGCGGTAATATGAGCCTGCGAAAAGCGGCTTGAGCCGCCTTCGTAATAGTGCAGTACTCTAGCGTTATTAGATATCGGTTTATTTGAACTTAGACTGTCGCCGCGGTCTCAACAATGCATCTCATCCACATGCTGGCTCGCAGCTGTAGGCGACTGGATCCATTACAGTTCCGGTGGAAGTGTAATTCTATCGTAGACTGCGAAAGCAATGCATGTGATGTAATGAAAAGCCGCATTGTGCTACGAGTAAAAAGATAGCGTGTGCAAAAATGTTGGTATGACATTGCATTGTTAACATTTCATGGTCATGGCTAAGTGACGCAATGTAATCGATATCATTCGAAAAGGCGACATGCTTAAGCACGTATGTATGTATGCAAAGCAACTCTTTTGTCGTTTTTCACTTGCGCTTGATCGAAAGTTACGCCTCTTCTATGGAATCCATACAGCATCTCATTATTTACGGTTTTCCGGAAATTGTGTACTTCAAAGGAAAAGGCGACACACCTTCGTCCACTCAAATTTCGCCAAACGGAAGTAGTAGCGTCTCATCCGAGTGGATCTACAATCTTGACCGAGAAGAGATATGATATAACTTGTAGACAGTATGCCTACTCGATGAGTTGATTAGAGCCACGAATTTTTCTTCAGTCGATTTGGATTCCAACGGCGCTGAGTTTACCTTTAGAACTAAAATGCTTGGAAAAGGAAATCCGGTTGGGCAAAATTACTTACTTAATTTGGGAACAGAAGAGACTTCATGTGACGACTAGGTCACGCAAAGAGTTGCACTTTGAACTTTATGTATGTTTAATAGGCGACACTTGTATTCATTTTCTTTTAGCTCCGCAGTTGCAGGAGTCCTAAAGTACTTGTTTGAGAAAAGTTTCATTTACATGTTGCATCTTTTCACAGCCCTTGACGATCCAAAACCTGCTGACGTTTTTGGGTTTACAGAGGTTAATTTCAGCCTACTTCTTTTAACCCAAGAGCATTGAAAATCTTTGGAGTTGTGCAAGTCAGCGAGCTTCTTTATTTACACTTTCACTTAAGTAAAGTTCTTGATGTGTTTTAGAATGAATGTCCGCTATCCCTTGTCAAATTTCGTTTGGAGACCAATCTATTTCGGCGTAGTGCCATCTTCAGTATAATTTTTTGTTCTGACCAACTCTCTCGGAAACAACAACTACCAAAAGTCGTTGACTTTTATCGAACTCCATTAACGGCACATGTCTACAATTCTGCTTGGGTTTGGACCGCTGTTGATAGCTTCTTTCCGCGCACATCTAACCCATCTTTAGCTTTGAAGGCCTCTAACTTAATTAAATATCAATATACAGCACAAGAGTTTCGAAATTTTCAACGACTGTTGATTTTGGTGAACTTTCACAAACCTGAGTATCGCCGAAAAGTCAGGCAAGGTATATATTTCTCACTGCAAAACGACTTCACAAGGAACAACCTAACTATAGTGGACCTATTGTTCCCTAAGAAAATGTTACCTTGAGACATGTCTTCTCCCGCATTTTTCGGTTATATTTTCCGAAAGGTTGAAGATACAAACAAATAACTTCGGTATGCAATTGCCGTAGCCCACCGTTTTAATGGTTCCAAACCATCTCTATTTAACGGGCAAAAGTAGCTACACCTTTTTCTTTTGTTTTGTCATTTTGTGAGATCGCGGCTAACCGGATGCTAGTTACAAAGAACCGCAATCAGCTGCGGTGGCTATGCCGTTTTCGTCGTACGCTTTTAGCTTTAAGTTTCCTTTGAAGCTTCTTGCTATGTGACTGACCCAATGAAGATGGCTTTAAACAAGCAACACTCAAATACCTATGACTAAATACTCTAGAATAGGCATTGTGTCACTACCACATCTCCCATAAAGTTGGTGCGTTTGATATCGAAGGAAGTTGAAGCAGAAGATAAGAGGTCACACCTAAGTCAGTCAGTCAGATGCGATTTTTTTGTTTCAAGAAATTACATAATAATAATAATAATAATAATAATAATAATAATAATAATAATAGATTGGCGCTTACACATATGTTAGTGTTTGGCCGAGCTTCTCCTCCGATTTGTGGCGTGCGCCTTGATGTTGTTACACAAAGCAGAGGGACCTACAGTTTTACGCCGACTCCGAACGGCGATTGTATTTTTATGAGAAGCTGTTTTTCATGGCAGAAATACACTCGGAGGTTTGCCATTGCCTGCCGAGGGACGACCACAGTCAATAAATTTTTTCTATATTTTTGCGATGTTGCTTTGACCAGGGTTTGAAGCCAGGTGCTGCGGAGTGGAAGCGCGCACTGCTTACCACTACACCACAGCGGCTTTCTAAAGTTCATCCTAAAAAATAACTTATTTATAAGCCTGATGAGAAATGCAGAGATTAAGGTTGTCGGGTAGTCGAAAAAACCATTGACGCTGGGCGAGTGATGTAATCATTTAAGCAACCTAAATCTATTGGTTAGAGCTACTGAATAAAAGGCGAATATAGTTTGGTCGTATCTGACGCAAATATAAAGAGCTCAAATAATTTAAAGGAAACTACGCGATTTGCATGCTTAAAGAGGGAAAGTTTTAAGGCCGTGAGCGGAGAAGGAGTACTTCCCACTTTCATTGTTAGACTGATACCGGCGCGGTTAGATAGTAGAAACTGTTGCAGAGTAATGAACTTCTTGCCTTTGCAGTAGATATAAAAGAATCTGTCGACTTCTTCAGAAAACACTTTCGAACCCAGTTAAGTGCGTATTGTGGGTCCCTTATTATGTATAATATGTATGATAAACGATATTTACTTACATATTTTATTATGATATTTATTAATTTATTCACTAATTAACAACTTATAAACTTATATCAGTAGGCTTTTTTGGTTAAAATAAATAAAAAATGCCCATAAAAAATGCTTAATTTTTAAAATTCCAAGAATGTGCATACGCTCCTCCTTATCGCTCTTCGCTCACTGACCCACCGGCCGTTGGTAGTTATAACCACCCGTGTTAGAATTTTCCGACGGCACGCCATAGCTGCTATGTGGTCGCCTGAATACGTTCGTATCTAAATGAAAATGCGAATGAGAATCAGAGTTGGAACTCGAGTCCGCTGTAGATGGTTGAGTAGGCTGCGCTGCCAGCTGGGTATTTTGAGTGTAGCGGCTTGGCGCCGTTGCTGCCCCCGATTGCGGCTCTATTTGCTGCTGCTGCGCTTGCAAGTAGAATTGTTGTTTTGCCGGCTGATTTTCTTGCTGTTGATCAGCTAAGGTCAGTGGATGCTGGCTCACACTCACTGGCAGCTGAGCTGTGGGCATCAAAGGCGCTACAACGCGGTTATATAGTGGCCGTTGTTGTTCTTGCTGCTGTTGCGTTGCCAGCTGTTGTTGTGCCAGCCTCTGTTGATGATGTTGCGCCTGTAATGCCAAATTTTGAGGCCATTGCGGGATTTGTGCAAATTGCACGGCGCTGGGTTGAGTTAATTTCGACTGCGATATATCGGTAGGGGTATTTTGTTGTTGTAAAGCCGACAAATACCTCTGGGCACTCTCAGCGTGCTGTTGTTGTACTTGCGCCACTTTTTCTTCTTGTGGGCCTTTCGTTTCCCCACTGGCTATGCCAGGTGTAGTTTGTACAAACCGATTTTCGCGTTCGTAAAGATACTGCGCGTTTTGCTGCGCCGCAGCATCGTAAAACATTTGCGACTTCGGCTGCTCGCCTCT